TGTAACTGTCTGTCTCTTTCCTGAAGCCCAATCATTTCTCTCCTGGAGGTTTCCAGTTGTTCCTAGAACATCCACATGCAACTGTGATTAAAATTAACAAAGAACTCGGAGCAAATGAATTCTTCAAAGATTAGTAAAAACAACATACACATACTGGGGTTTCTTAGCTAAAACTACAGTTTAATGGCACACAAAATGCTTACTCAAAACAATTATTATAAGACAATACTATAAATTAAGTTTAAATATAGTATTTTAATTTATTAAAATACCAACATTTTTATGTTTACACAAATGAGTTTCAAAGTGGAGCCCTTGAAAGGCTCTTCACTTATTCCAGTGATGCTGCCACTGGACACTTTTTAAATTTCCTCTTAGGACTTTTTAACACTTCTACGGTACACTCTTTGAGAAAGAACCAAAGTGATATGGAGCTAAGTCTAAAGACAACGTGTGACCAAGCAAAGCAGCAACCCTTCAGGTCAGAAAGGGTGGGACTCCAGCACGACCCTCGTTCTCCCTTCCAAGTGCTAAGCTCTGAAGATTTTTTCCCAGAGCAGAATAGCAGCATTGCTGGAATCAGGATGAGATAAGATGTTCATTTTGAATACATTCCACACATTTCCTGAGGAAATGTGCCAAGTTCTGCATGAGGCCACTGGCATATTTTTAAAATCCTCTTATCTTTATAAAATATAAAAACCACTCAAGTTATGCCATAACTGACCACAATTAACAACTTGGACAATCCCTGTAACAATGGACCTCAAGAAGATTTAGGAATTTAGAACATTTAGGAATATACCTCGGATAACTCTAAAGGTGTCAGAATTTTTGGCACCCTCTTCTTCGGAGTGTTTGCGACTTCCTATCATGCCAGACCATCTGGAAAGACTGAACTTAAAGGCACTGGGCCAGTTGCTATGTCCCATATATGTCAAATCAGATTCACTCTGAGTGATGATCAGCACTTTACTTGAACTCCCCACCAGCCCTGCAAATCTATACACCCCCCTCCTACATCACTTATCTCATACCATCAGCCCCTGTAAACTTGAGACAGAGACCAGGCCGGTCTCATAAATTCATGACTCCCTTATTCCCCAAATTCAATTTTTCATAAAATTCTACCCATTTTACCTCCCAAGTTTGCTTCCTATTTCACTTTTACTATCTCCACTAGCACGACCTTAGTTCAAGTCCAAAATCTCTCTGGCTTTGGCAGCTGCTAAGGCCTCCTAACAGCTGTCCTTTCCACCAAGGCTTCTGGGCTCCCCACCTCTGTCCCAAATACAAATCTGCACCTTCCGCATAGTTTCTCTGCCCTACTGCCAGGCTGATGTTTACATGACGCCCAGGATGCCTTCCTCTCGCTTACATTCCTTGGTGCCTTCGTGTGTCTGCTCAATGCCTCTCACATCCTCGGACGCCTGGGGCCCAGCCTCACCTCTATCGCTCTTCATCATCATCATCATTTCAGCCCCTACAGAGCGACTGACTAGTCTCTGGAAGTCAAATACTCTCTCATACCTCTATGCTTTAAACAGGTTATATACCCTCTGCCTAGAATGTCTTTTCCAAACATTAGCAAATTTCTATTTACTCCTCAGATCAAGTGTTAACTCTCTGTGAAGGCTCCTCTTACTCCCACACCAAGAACAACGAACAAAGCAAATAATTATGGTTCAGTGTATCTCCTTCCACTAGACTACAATCCCGAGAGCTGGAACTGGGGTTCACTCCTCTGTGAAACCCAGTGCACCTGGCACAAAAATACTTAATAAATTTTGCTCAATGAATTGAATGAATCCTATACTGGATCCAGAAACTCTTCAAGGACAGATCGGCAACTTTTGCCACTGAACACACATTTCTGTCCAGAGAAAAATACCGGATTTTGGCCTAGGTCAAACCTGAATTAGAAGATTTCCCGGAAAACAGTCTATACTCTGGGCTGTCCTAATAAGCAACCACTCTTTGGAAGGAAAGGCTAAATAGGCCTGGATTACCAATATCATTCAGCCAAGGTTACCCACATATAAAAAGTTTTAATGCAGAACTGCGGCCTTCAAGGGCTTACAACTCTGAATCAGTCTAATTCATAAGACCCTCCATAGGTTTCTCTGATTAAGATTAAAGTATCATCCACAACTCACAGCCTTTTTATAACCTTGGAGGCTACTAACTACCCCCTCCAGCCCACCACAGTTACCCCCTCAGGGATAACCTCTATCCTTTAGGCATTGTAGGATGTATAAAAACCTAAAAATATTAAAGAGAAAACACTGTTACCACTTGGCTTAGCTTATGAGACAGTTGGCTTATTGAAATACAGGTCGACATGCAATCTCTACCTTAAGTTTTGCATAGCAGTTCTGTAGATGGTCCATATCACTTCCCAGTTTCAGATTCTGTGTTTCTACGTTTTCCTGAGCTAGAAGGTTCTTCCGCTGAAGTACAAGTAGCTCATTCATACAATTTAAAACAGCAACTATATTTAATTCTCTCTTTGTGTCTTTACCTTTGGATTCTTCATATAATGAAGGAAAACCGAAAGTAGTCAATTCCTGGTAAGAGAAAATGTTTTCCTCAAAGTTGGTTACCAGACAACTCAGTATAGAAACAAAAGATAGAAATCTTTTCTCAGAAATAATGAACACTATCCTGAGTTAAGAAAATTGTAAACATCCCAAAGGACAAAGAACTGAGAGAACTGGGCTCTTTTTAGCCTCTGCTCTACAAGTGCCTGTGTCCTGGGACAAGGCACTTAGTATATCCGTAAAATAAGGGAGAGACTCCTGGTGGAGAGGTCCCTAGAGTGATGTGCAGGCCAACCTGCTCCTGACAAACACGTTTACCATGTATCCAGACTAAACGGTCACCACGGTTCTTTGCCCATCTAGTTATGTTACATAACAGGCCAATACGTAACAACATACGTGTGCTTGACAAGTATTTTTCTCGTAACTTTGATATGTTCTATTATATAACATGATTTATGCTATTGCTTCTCACACACAAAAAAATTTTTTTACCTGATCAAGATATGAAATACTTTGTTCAATATTCTCTTCTGTGCAGAAGGCACTGAAAAAACTGTGCACATTTTTTGATAAAGGTATTGAAGAACATAGCACTTGCTGTGAGTATAAACTTGATGGAGACATCTTTGTTTCTGAGGTATATTGACAGATATTTTTGCTTTCTGAAAGAATAAAAGGCATTTACTCAATTTATAAAACATACGCAAACTATCTCCATTACCAAAGACCTTGAATTATATAAATATTTTTAAGTATTTTCAAATTAAGGCAAAGCTGTTTTTTGCATGAAAACTACAAAAGTTGACCCTTAAACAACACAGGGGTTAGGGGCACCGACTCCTCATGCAGTGGAAAATCTGTGTATCACTTTTTTTTTTTAAGATTTATTTGAGAGAGAGAGAAAGCATGTGCACGAGCAGGAGGAGGGGCAGAGGGAGAAGGAGAAGCGACTCCCCGCTGAGCAAGGAGCCCTATGCAGGGCTTGATCCCAGGACCCTGAGATCACGACCTGAGCCCAAGGCAGCCCCTTAACCGACTGAGCCACCCAGGCGCCCCCTTGTGTATCCCTTTTGACTTCCACAAAACTTAACTACTAATAGCCTACTGATGACCAAAAGCCTTACCAATAACAGTTGATGTATCACATTAGTATAGTCTTACAATAAAGCTAGGGAAAAAATCACAAGAGAAAATACATTTACAGTACTGTACTACATTTATCGAAAAAAATCTGTGTATAAGTGGACCCACACAGTTCAAACCCATGTTATTCAAGAGTCAACTGTACTTTTTTCAAAAAGATACAACTATAAGGTGCCCTTAGTAGGCATGTTAAGCTACAATATACTACCTTAACTTACAGTATTTCAGACTTATAAAAATAACAGACAAAAACCACCTGAGTCAAAAGTTATGGATTAAAGGAATAAATCACAGCAACGTACTGACGTACCCAATAAATTTATTTCAAATGCATAAACATTCCTCTCCAAGATAATAACAATCAAACCCATCATCCATCAAAGGCACTGAACCCCACTAATTATGGCACAATTCTTAGCTTTCCCAGATAAACTTTCTGAAAATAAAAATTAGATATTTTACTATTTATGTCTCTCTCTAGTCACATCTTCGATATTTGTGATAATTATTTATAGTTTCATTTAAAAATTCCCCTTTACAATTACTGCTTTAGTCTACCCTTATTTTAGACCATTACCTGAAGACAGATCTGGGTCTGTAACAGTCATCCACTCTCCCATAGCAGTCACGAGGGCCGGGCTACCTGAGGAACCAGTTCAGCGGCTAAACATTTAGTCCAGCTGCTGTCACTCTTCTATGTAGGCATCTCCTTAAAAAGCAAATTGTAAAACAGTAACATTTAACTAAAAATATAAAAGCAAATATAAAATCAATGTGTAAAAAGAAGGATTTTGCATTATTTATTTCCATACACTCTCATACAGAACATGGTAGAGCTCAATAATAACCCTGTGTGTGTGCGTGCACATGCGCATGTGTTTAAGGATCAGGAGTAAAGGGTTAACAAGTTCTACCAAGGCATTCACATTACTTCATTTACAAAGTACATGATACATGATTTGACTCATAATATAAATCTAAGGTACAGCATCGTACTAAGTAATAACGATTTCTATATTAAATCCTCTAAAATAAAGTACAAAGTATTTATACAGATAAGGGGATAAAAAACTTCTTGGCTAACATTTTCATTTTTTGTTTTTATTAACTATATTAGCAAAAAGAAATTTTAATTACTATTCCCAATGTTGGCACAGATGTAGAAAAAAGCCTACTTCCATACACTGCTCTCCAGAAAGATCCCATCAATTCATACTACTACAGCAATTTGGCAATATGTATCACATCTTACAAATGAAATATATTTTGACCTAGAAATACCACTTATAAAATTTTATCCTAATAAAATGATTTGTGCTTGCTTTGGCAACACACAGACTAAAACTGGAACAACACAGAGAAGATTAGCATGGCCCTGCACAAGGATGACATGCAAATTTGTGAAGCATTCCCTATTTTTGCATGTGGAACTTAAGAACCAAAACAGACGAACACGGGGAAAAAAAAGAGAAGCAAACCATCAAACGGACTCTTAACTGTAGAGAACAAACTGAGAGTTGCCGGAGGAAGGTGGGGGGGGGATGGGTTAAATGATTGGTATTAAAGAGAGCACTTGTTGTGATGAATCACTAAATTCTACACCTGAAATTAATATTGCACTGTACGTTAACTGGAATTTAAATAAAAACTTGGAAAAGAAAAAAATGATTTGTATAAAAATTCATCTACACATTGTTCTTGATAACATCAAAAAACTGGAAATAGGTTATATGCTCCACAGGAGACTGGTTAAATGACACATTTATACAACAGAACATCTTTAAACACAACCAGGTGGAATTAAGGTGGTTACCATATGAATGAAGGGGACTAAGTGTTAAGAACCTTTCATGTAACTGTTTCACATACACTTTCAGCCTACCATCATGTTTCCACTTTTTTATAGAGAAAATGGAAGAAATGAATATTTCTCCAGCATAAAAAAATTCAAATGAACTTATAAATGACAACTGGGAATTGATTTCAAGGTCAGGGATAGGAGGAGGAGTGATGACTACAGGCAAACTGGATGACACGTGCCACCACTTTGGACACCTGCTTCTCAGTTACAATAAACTGCGGCCAAGAGAGAAAGCAGGTCGTGTGTTGCTATCTTTCCATCTTTCAAGGGATGTTGGAATTCTGGATTTTTATGTGGAATCTCGAAATTCGTAAATGTGAGAAGCTACTTAAAAAGATTATGCAAGGTATCCTGTGGGAAGGGGGCGTGGCTGGAAGGAGGATGTGAGAGAGCCTTTTGCATCGTGATCTGAGAGAAGGCTACACGAGCCACCAAGTTGTACCCTTAAGATCCGGGCACCTCACTGGATGTAAGTTACCTTTCTAATGACAACATTTTTTAATAAGCCAAATCAAATGTGTCTTTAGGCCAGATCTGGACTGTGAATCAGAGTTCACAACCCCTATTCTGAATATTTAAGATTGTGGAGAAATAGGGGCACCTGGGTGGCTCAGGTGGTTAAGCGTCTGCCTTCGGCTCAGGAGATGAACCCAAAGGTCCAGCATCTGCATCACATCATCAGGCTCCCTGCTCGGTGGGGGAGTCGGCTTCTCCGCCCCCCCCACCACCGGCCCTCATCCCCACCTACAGCCCCTCATGCTCACGCTCTCTCACTCACTCCCTCTCTCAAATAAATACAATGTTTAAAAAAAAAAAAGATCGTGGAGAAATATTCATAATGTAATACTGAAGTGAGATGAAAATTTTCATTCATTCAATAGATTTTTAATTGTGCTATACATGCCAGGCACACTCTTCTAGGCACAAGGGAGGCCCTGCCCTCAAGTTCACATGCTAGTGGGGGTGGAAATAGATAACTAAGTAATAAATTAACATAACAGAGTGTGATGAGGACTATAAAGAAAACAAAACACAGTAACATGAGAGTACTGGAGCGAGGGTATCCAGATTCACCAAGGAAGGCCGCACCAGGACACTGAGACCTAAATGATACACAGTCAACCACAAGATGATCAGTGACCAGAGCAGCCCAGGCAGAGGAAACAGCAGGTACAAAGACCCAAGATGGAAACGAACTTGGTAAATATGAAAACCATGAAGAAGGCCAGTACCTTTGAAGCACAGTACACAAGGAGAGAGGGTAGGAAGCTGGATTTTCTCTTAAGTTGCAATGAAAAGCTATCGAAGGAGTTTAGGCAGGAAAGCCAACAGGATCTTCTTTAGGCTTTGAAAAAGATCCCTTCAGCTACTCTACCCTCTGTGAGTATATTAGAGGTGGGCGACAGTGGGAGGCTGGAAGATATCGGGCCACTGCAACTAGGCAAGACCATTTTTACACTACGACTAGAACAGCAGGAGTGGACACAGGTGGATGAATCAGGGATGGGTTCTGGAGAAAGAACCTGCAGGAGTTGAAGACAGAATGAAGTACGGGCAAAAGAGAAATCAAGGATGATTCCTAGGTCATATAGGAGCCTACAATATATCCCAATGCAAATGATGCGATGTGTTGTAGTGCATGTTACAGTGTCACACACATACGGGGGCTGCCAAGTCTGGTGTGGATTTTTGCTATTCTTCTACTCATGTGCCTTGCTAAGAGCAACCTGAACCATTCTGCACTTCCCCGTCCTTATATGGGTGCCTTCAGCAACAGGAGGAGCAGAATAAAAGTTCAGTCTGCACCAAGACAAGACAATGATTTTACGTTTCGCTTCCAGAGATAGTAGCCATAAACAAAACAAGATCCAAGGGACTTATAAACCCATCTACTCTAACCCAGCTCTGCTTTGGCTAAGTTACTAAACTCTTCCAAGCCCTGGTTTCCTCACTGGTAAACTGCCATAATAATGACTCTTACTTGAGTTTCCCCAGAGGATTAAGTGAGATGATGCATATAAAGAAGTATTCAGCACACGGCCTGGCATATGGGGCACACGGAATTAATATTGTCTTCATCATCGCCATCATCATCATTATCTGGATACAGATCTGTTTGGTATAAATGACAGGATTCCAAAACCTATAACAAAAGGCACTGTTGCTCTTAATAAAAGCTGAACACCTTAGAAAATTTGGAGACAGATATCCTCATAAAACCACACTAGGCAGTGGGATTAATTCTTTGTAATTGTTAGGTTGCGGGGGGGGGGGGACAGGATCAGAGGAAAAAGGCACTTTTCCAAGCCCTTCTTGTTCCTGTTTTTTTTTTTAAATAAGACACAACACTGCCTTAAGTGCCTTTCCCCTCATACAGAAAGATCAAACACCAGAATGTCTACTATACATCCATTCTTTAAAGTTGTAATTTCAGTCAGTTATTCTTCCTCTGTGAATTTAGCTCTCCAGCATCTACGGGTTCAGACGGTGAACTGTTCCCTGCCCTGTTATTTAGAATAACAAAAACAACAACAACAAAAACAACCAACTGTGAAATATTTAGGTCTAGTTAAATGTTCACAATGAAAACCAAAACACTTTGAAGCACTACGAAACAAAGAAGTTACCAACAGAATATGATTTCACACAATCTCACGGTTTCTATGTATTCTGTTCAATGATGCACCAAATTATACACTAGGAGGTCTGTGATAAAAGTTACCCAGTCAGACTCTTAATCAATATACAAGCCGAAACTGAGAGACTAATTTAAGCAAGTTATCCTATTCTAGCTCAACCACAGTCAAATTTCATTGTTGAAGGTTACAAACTATTTTATAAAGATATTATAAGACATCAGTATTAATTTCAAAAGCAAAAAAAAAAGGTAACAGAAGAACCTCCGCTTCGCATAAACCTAATACCATCACAAGTACATTTCAACTTGAAAGCTTCAAAAGCAGCCAAGAAGGACTCCATTACAGCTGAGTGCTGGAGGGGCGCCTGGGTGGCTCAGTCAGTTAAAGCTGAGTGCTGGAGCACACAATGAAGTTCCATATTACAGATTAATCAAGTCAGAGCAAAGCATTCGACAGTAGACCATAAGCATACAAGAACAAATTTGGTTATAACTAGCATTGTTATTAGAGTTTCATTATAGAAGAAGAAAGGGAAGAAGCTGACAGTAAATCATGTTTTGGTTCAAGTAATCTGTAACCCCCATTTCTCTATACCACTGGTTAGGGAAACTGTCCAGATTGCAAGAGAGGACAAATTCATGAGTGAATTTTATGAGCAAAACTTGAAGATTAAACAATTTAGCCACCCTGTAAAAGTCATTTCATTCATCTAAGATTGTTGAGGATTAACCCTGAAATAACTTAAAGAAAAAAACATCTATAAAGTAATCCATAAGAATTCTTCCTCCTAATCTTTAAGTCAGAGAGACATGGTTTTATTCCTTCCTGGTGGATAACATGTATATAGGCACCTAATAAACTTCCTTGATTCCAAGTATTTCTCAATGCACATTCCAGTAAGTCAGTCTACATAACAGAAAATCTTACTAATTGCAGTAACATTGCAATAGTTTCAGTAAAAATGTTACCTTACTATTTCTGAGGAACTACTTTGGCTTCCCTCATATGGTGCCATATCTCGGGTGTAAATAAGCAAGGGTACTGTCGTGTTTCCCGGGTAAAATGATTACGCAGACCTTAAGAATTATCTAATAGCATTTTCTGGGTTAGAATCCTGACAGAAAATGGGGAACTAGTGAGACATTTGACCTTAACATAACTGTACCCTTTCTGAAGTGAAGATTTTAATAAAGTTTCATACATCTATCATTCTTCATGTCAAAGCACTTTCTTTCATATATATTTACCTATATTATAGACAGAAAACTTGGGCTTAGGGGAGCTAACAGGATTGCCTGAGGCCACATTTCTAATTGGTTGTGAAGCCTGGACACAAATCTGTCTTCAAAAATGCTTTTTTCACTCCATTACCACGTAACCTTTCTACACTGTCCACACAAACCTCTATAGAGTTAAAAGGAGAATAAAAAAGATTTCCATCAAGTTTCTTTAAAAGAACGAGTCCCAGAGTTCACCTGAAATCATTCCACTCAGAGCGTACAATCCTTAAAGGAACTCACCTCCAACTTATATTGAGGCACACTGGTAACCTTCTCTGCTACGTCACAAACGACAGCTTTTTTCTCACTTAGAAATGCTTTGCTTTGAAAAGGTTTAAAAACAATTCTCAGAAATGAGATCAGTTCTATTGAAAGTTTAACGAGGGTGAAATAACTCATCTTACCATTTTAAGACAACATCAAAACTCAAAGTTTATAGATGTTCAGTAAAAACATTTGTGGTTCAGGTTACTTACACCTGTTTTTCTTTTTATCTTTTTTCCAGCAGAAAAGTTCCTTGGCTGGTTATTGCTCTTCCTTTTATCCAAAAAACTCAAGGGGTCTCAAGGTCTCAATATACAATGATCACTTGTAAAATATGGGGGGAAGGCAACCTCTAAGGTGGCTCCCAATTATCCCT